GGGCCGAGAAGTCGGGGGCACCAGATCGCCTATTCACTGCAGGTTCCCCTGGAGTGCTCCCGGCCTGGCTCACCTAAGTAGGCTGCCCAGTGGATGGGCTGCCTCTCCTTCTTGTCGCTGGCGTTCAGGTTGGCCCCTTTGTTCAGCAGCAGGTTCACCATCTGGGAGCAGAGAGAAGAGTAACGGTCAGCCGTCGGCCGCCAGCAGGGGAGGGGAGCAGAGGGGCAGCGCTACAACAGACGCCGACAGTAAATCTCCTGGCAGCGCACTCTTCCTCGCCTGTCAGAGGACATCTGCCTCCTTCTGCTCTCTGGGCACCCCTGGAAAATTCCTCCCTTGGGAAATGTGTGCCACAAAGCACGCTACAACACACTTTTAACCTATCCTTCTAAATTTGCTACGAACACCATTTTTTGTTAAAGGAGACCTTCCGTGTGATGGGGGTTTGTCTTTGCGCTGCGTTGTACTTGTTGTATATGAAAAGTACTCCAACCATAAGGAAAAAAACAAAGCTCCTGTTGTGTTAAGAAAATACAGGGCAGATCCAACTATGCGTGGTAAATTCCCTTCCAGCAGACTTCTCTCCCACAACCAGGCAGTACTCATTTTTTTTTTCTTGGAAATGCCCTCATTTTACTATGGCAAAACCTGTCACACCATTGCGTCACACCGCAATGTGGTGTGGGCAAAGTTTTTTCACTGTGCTATCAACCGACAAGAATAGCTCCATCTTTTACCATAACGCTTCACAGTGCCATCAATGATCTCATGCGGCCCTCACACTTGATCATTTACTCTAAAACACAATACTTTCATCCTTCCAATGCCAACGCCTTGCATGTGTATTTGGAAATGATATTCAACTCTCTCAACCTTGCTGGGACGTTTCCTTTTGAAAAAGCTCCACGCACCCCCTCGATTGCAAGGACAAAAGTCCGCTTGCTGCTTGCACTGCCCCGTTCATTCCGACCCAACCCCTTAAGAGCTAAAACCGGTCAGCTATAGCTCCTCTACTGGATCCAGATGGGGCTAAAGGGAAAACGTGGCTTCCTCCTGGTTTTGGGAGATCAGGCGGTTTATCCTGGGGGGGCCACAGAGCCAGCTGACCGAGACCAACGGGCACCCCCCTCCCCCCCTCCCCAGCTTCCCGATCCTCACCTCCACGTGCCCGCTGTGCGCGGCGTGGTGCAGCGCGGTCCTGCCCGTGCGGTCCGCCACGTTGACGCTGTTCAGCAGGGGGATCAGGGCCTCGGCACACTTGGTGGCGCGGTTGGCGGCGGCCACGTGCAAGGGCGTCTGCCAGAACTTGTCCCTGGCGTTGATCTCCGCCCCCTGCCGCAGGAGCAGGCTCACTGCCTTCTGCACGGAGAGGACAGACCGACAGCCGTCAGCAGAGAGGGTCATGACATGGCACATCCCCATGCCCACGTCCGTCTTAATGGAACGCAAGCGACTTCCTTGACTCACATAACAAGCAGACCAACATAATGCCCGACAATCATTTTTTGAATTTAGTCTGCATGACTAAACGTTTCTGTAATTGGAATGACCAGTTACACAATTACTGCAGTGGAATGACAACTTCTTCATCCACATGGATCACCGAATCCAAAAGACATCCCAAGTCCTCTAAAAGGCAAACTTTCTGCCCCTTGGACTCCTCACCACACT